CATGCATGTGAGGTCACTGATAAATAAATGTGAAAGAAAGGAATCAAGGTGCAGGGGGCATTTCCTGCTCAACTTATGCATTTTCCCTTACTTTTTTGCACGCTGCCCTTTTTGCCTCCCCCGTCAGTGGCCCTGCCAGTATGGACCCTACCAGCAGGGCCGACGGGGAAGGCAAAAGGGGCAGGAATGTTAAAGCACTGCCTCTAGAACTTTAATGTGGGCTGCATACGGGTCGGACTGGCTTCCTACCGGTACGCCGTACTGGCTCACTTTCACCGGTCCAGGGTACAATCTGGACTGTGGACAGCTGCATCTCCTCAGTTCTCCAACATGGGCTGCCTTTTACACTACTTCGCTGTGAGAGCAACCACTCCTGGCTTGCTCTCACAGCCTCTAGCATGTAAACTATTCCCAGCTGAGTTAGATGAGTGCTCTTCGCTAGCCACTCCTGAATTATACTGCAGAGGGACACAAGAAAATTCCCAGTCCCAGACATGTCCCCAGAAATGTGCGACTTGCACTGCCCAGCTCTCTCCTTCTTGACAATAAAAGCTCAGAGAAAACCCGTCATTTCATTAATAGAAAATGGTTATGCACAAATCTTGCTGTCCAAATGGAGTTTCCCCAAACACTTCAATCCAAATACATGCTGGGTTAGATAAAACAGGAAAACAAGTTTATTAACTACAGAAAGATCGATTTTAAGTGATTACAAGGAATGAGGCATAAAAGTCAGAATTGTTTACAAAGAAATAAAAGGTAAAACGCAAACTAATACCTAACCTAACAAGCTAAGTGAACTTAGAGCAAGAAGGTTTCTCTCACGATAGGTTTACAACAGTCTGACTGGATTCCTCCCAAGCCATGACCCCTCCCCATGTTCAGTGATGCTTTCTTTGTCTTTCAAACACTGTCGATGCCGTGAGTAGAGATGAGGAGAGGAAAGTGATTTGGGGCCTCTATTCCTCATTTTTATATCATTTCCTCCTCTTTGAAGATCATCTCCAGCTGGAGTTCATGTGACAGCCAGTCTGTTTAGCCCAGCTGTTCCATTGCCAAGCTGTAAATTTCTCGCTCACACCTTTCTTACTGCCAAAGAATGGTTGCTTAACTAGGTGATAGTCCATTTGATTGTGCTGAGGTGCTGGCTAGCCTTGGTCTCTGGGCAAATAGTTTGAAGCGGTTTTTCTAAACTTGGAGCATGTCTCAGTAAAGTCACACAGTAGAATCTTATAACTGAACACACAATGTTGCCGCACATATTTTACCAGGACAATAATGTTCAGCCGATTAGGACCTTTCAAATGATACCTCACAAGGCATACTTTTAC